GAACACACCCTCTGGTTTCCCTTTTTGAAGAGGGGAACCACCACCCCAGTCTGCCAATCCAGTGGCACTGCCCCTGATGTCCATGTGACATTGCAAAGGCATGTCAACCACAGATTTAAGTTTCGTTTTTCTGGTCTTAAGGGGAGCAACACGGTCCAGAACATTTAAACAGGCAGAGTTGAACTGAGAGGTTAGCTCCTCAGTGGTAAGAGACACCGAGAGCTGTTCGATCCTCTCAGAATTAAAACCTTCATTAAAATGAGCAGCAGTGAAACGGTTAATGGAACGCGTACGTGCAGGAACGCACGTCTTAGCAGTATGACAAGGGGGGGTGAAGTCAAACAATACAGGCATGTGATCTGAAAAAACATTGTCACCGATTTTCAAATTAGAAACAGAGACATCGCGTGTTAAAACGAGGTCCAGCGTGTGACCATGTTCCTGGGTAGGACCGTTCACCTGCTGAGCTAAGCCAAAAGAGTCCAATAAATCCAGAAAGTCCTTCACTAAGGGCTTCTCCTGACAACACACATGCAAATTAAAGTCACCAATAAGCAAAAAGTGAGTGTATCTCTGTGTGATATCAGCCAAAAAGTCAGAGAATTCATTTATGAAGTCCTTAGAATGAGGTGGGCGGTAGACAAGCACGCACAGAACCTGTCCAGGGTGTACCCCGCCCCTCGCACAGTGATGGCTGGACATGGGCACCAGCGACCCTCATGACCCAAAATGGAATAAGCGGGTAAAGATAATGGATGGATGGATGGATACCAGGGACTCTGCTTTTTGGCATCGACGGGGCTCTGTTTTATTGACTATTGAAGAAGACATTGGCAGCAATTTCGGTCATGGCAAAGCTTCCAAGTCAGTGTGAAGGTTTGGTACGTGCTGTAGGAACTCTAAATCAAGGTTTACAAGCTAAACCGTAAGGTGAAGAAGATTTATGAGAATCACAGGCCACCTGCGGCTTCTGGGACTCATCAGCGTGGTGGGTTCGACCTTGAAGGAGACTCATAGCATGGATCAGTGGAATGGATTCCCACAATTAGGCCTTTTGGAACCAGAATGACCAGATGGGCTCAAGGCTAAAGAAAAAAGTAATATGTCTGCTGAAGAAAATCAACAATCAAAGCTTATTTGAATCTGACTCCCGATGGCCTCGGAATGGGCAGACTATAAAATTTCTCCTGGGTCATGGGTAACCAGGGATAAAAGCTTCATCTATCGACTCACTGTGGAGACCCCTGAGGAGGGAAAAGCCAAAAGAAGAAGATTTTTTTTAACAAAGGAGCTTGTTGTATTGTAGTTGTCCCTGATCAGAAATGGTGCATAAAAACTTCTTAAATCCCCAGTTTCACAAAGTTCTCCACGTGTCCAGTGTCTCCATCCATCCATTTTCTTCCGCTTATCCGGGTCGGGTCTCGGGGGTAGCAGCCTAAGTAGGGAGGCCCAGACTTACCTCTCCCCAGCCACTTGGGCCAGTTCTTCTGGGGGAATCCCGAGGCGTTCCCAGGCCAGCCGAGAAACATAGTCCCTCCAGCGTGTCCTGGGTCTTCCTCTGGGCCTCCTTCCGGTGCGACGTGTCTGGAACACCTCACCAGGGAGGCATCCAGAAGGCATCCTAAACAGATGCCCAAGCCACCTCAACTGGCTCCTCTCGACGTGGAGAAACAGCGGCTCTACTCTGAGTCCCTCCCGGATGATCGAGCTTCTCACCCTGTCTCTAAGGGAGAGCCCAGACACCCTGCGGAGAAAACTCATTTCGGCCGCTTGTATCCGAGATCTCATTCTTTCGGTCACAACCCAATGCTCATGACCATAGATGAGGGTGGGAACGTAGATCGATAGGTAAATTGAGAGCTTCGCCTTTTGACTCAGCTCTCTCTTCACCACAACAGACCTGTACAGCGCCCGCTTCACTGTAGATGCTGCACCTATCCGCCTATCGATCTCACGCTCCATTTTTTCCCTCATTCGTGAACAAGACCCCAAGATACTTGAACTCCTCCACTTGGGGTAGGACCTCCTCCCTGACCCAGAGAGGGCACTCTACCGTTTTCCGGCTCAAGACCATGGCCTCGGATTTGGAGGAACTGATCTTCATCCCGGCCGCGTCGCATTCGGCTGCAAACCGCTCCAGCGAAAGCTGTAGATCACGATCTGATGAAGCCAATAAGACCACATCATCTGCAAAAAGCAGAGACGCAATTCTAAGGCCACCAAAACAGATCCCCTCAACACCTTGGCTGCGCCTAGAAATTCTGTCCATAAAAGTTATGAACAGAATCGGTGACAAAGGGCAACCTTGGCGGAGTCCAACTCTCACCGGGAACAAGCCCGACTTACTGCCGGCAATGCGGACCAGGCTCTGACAACGGTCATACAGGGACCTAACAGCCCGTATCAAAGGGCCCGGTACCCCATACTCCCAGAGTACCCCCCACAGGGCCCCCCACAGGGCCCCCCACAGGGCCCCCCGAGGGACGCGGTCGAACGCCTTCTCCAAGTCCACAAAGCACATGTAGACTGGTTGGGCAAACTCCCACGCACACTCCAGGACCCTGCTGAGAGTGTAGAGCTGGTCCAGTGTTCCACGGCCAGGACAAAAACCGCACTGCTCCTCCTGAATCCGAGGTTCGACTATCCGACGGACCCTCCTCTCCAGAACCCCCGAATTGACCTTACCCGGGAGGCTTAAGAGCGTGATTCCCCTGTAGTTGGAACACATTCTACGGTCCCCTTTTTTGAATAGGGGGACCACCACCCCGGTCTGCCAATCCAGGGGAACTTCCCCCGATGTCCACGCAATATTGCAGAGTCGCGTAAGCCAACACAACCCTACAACATCCAGAGCCTTAAGGAACTCTGGGCGAATCTCATCCACCCCTGGGACCCTGCCACCGAGGAGCTTTTTAACCACCTCGGTGACCTCAGCACCAGAGATTGGAGGGCTCGACCCAGAGTCCCCAGGCTCCGCTTCCTCAGTGGAAGACGTGCCGGTGGGATAGAGGAGGTCTTCAAAGTATTCCGCCCACCGATCCACAACATCCCGAGTTGAGGTCAGCAGCACACCACTCCCACTATAAACAGTGTTGGTGGCGTACCGCTTTCCCCCCCTGAGACGCCAGATGGTGGACCAGAATCGTCTCGAAGCCGTGCGGAAGTCTTTCTCCATGGCCTCTCCGAACTCCTCCCATGCTCGAGTTTTTGCCTCAGCAACCACCCGAGCCGCATGTCACTTGGACTGCCGGTACCCATCAGCTGTTTCCGGAGTCCCACAGGCCAAAAAGGCCCGATAGGACTCCTTCTTCAGCCTGACAGCATCCCTCACTGATGGTGTCCACCATCGGGTTCGAGGGTTGCCGCCGCGACAGGCACCGACAACCTTGCGGCCGCAGCTCTGGTAAGCCGCCTCGACAATAGAGGCACGAAACATGGTCCACTCAGACTCAATGTCCCCCACCTCCCTCGGAACATGTTCAAAGTTCTCCCGGAGGTGGGAGTTGAAACTCCATTTCACAGGAGACTCTGCCAGACGTTCCCAGCAAACCCTCACAATACGTTTGGGTCTGCCAGGTCTGACCGGCATCCTCCCCCACCATCGGAGCCAACTCACCACCAGGTAGTGATCAGTTGACAGCTCCGCCCCTCTCTTCACACGAGTGTCCAAGACATGTGGCCGCAGATCAGATGAGACGATGACAAAGTCGATCATCGAACTGCGGCCTAGGGTGTCCTGGTGCCAAGAGCACATATGGACACCCTTATGCTTGAACAAGGTGTTCGTTATTGACAATCCATGACGAGCACAGAAGTCCAACAACAGAACACCACTCTGGTTCAGATCAGGGGGGCCGTTCCTCCCAACCACACCCCTCCAGGTCTCACTGTCATTACCTACATGAGCATTGAAGTCCCCCAGCAGAACAAGGGAGTCCCCAGAAGGTGCACTTTCCAGTACCCCCTCCAAGGACTCCAGAAAGGGTGGATAATCTGAACTGCTGTTTGGTGCATAAGCACAAACGACAGTCAGAACCCGTCCCCCCACACGTAGGCGGAGAGAGGCCACCCTCTCATTCACTGGGGTGAACCCCAATACACAGGCACCAAGTTGGGGGGCAATAAGTACGCCCACGCCTGTCCAGCCCCTCTCAAGGAAACTGGTTCCAGAGCCCGAGCCATGCGTAGAGGTGAGTCCGACTATTTCTAGCCGGAACCTCTCAGCCTCACACACCAGCTCAGGCTCCTTCCCCACCAGTGAGGTGAAATTCCACGTCCCAATAGCCAGCTTCTGTAGCCGAGGATCAGACCGCCAGGGTCCCCGCCCTCGGCCACCACCCATCCCACATTGCACCCGACCCCTTTGGCCCCTCCCACAGGTGGTGAGCCCATGGGAAGGGGGACCCACGTCTCCTCTTCGGGCTGTGCCCGGCCGAGCTCCATGGGTAAAAGCCCGGCCACCAGGCGCTCGCCCGCGTGCCCTACCTCCAGGCCTGGCTCCAGAGTGGGGCCCCGGTGACCCACGTCCGGGCAAGGGAACACTAGGTCCATTTATTTGTGTCATCATCGGGGTCTTTGGGCTGCACTTTGTCTGGTCCCTCACCTAGGACCTGTCTGCCATGGGTGACCCTACTAGGGGCATAAAGCCCCTGACAGCATAGCTCCTAGGATCATTGGGACACTCAAACCCCTCCACCACGGTAAGGTGGCAGCCCAGGGAGGGGGTCCAGTGTCTCTGTGGAAGCAAAACTCCAACGCCAATCTGGCCTTGATGTTGCACTTCCACAGAGCCACGGCATCAAGTTGGGGTCCAGCCTGCAGTCTATCACTGCAAGACAAGTAAACAGCCATATTTGCTTCACAAGAAGAAGAAGATATATTAAACATGTTCAGGTGACTCATTTCATCCTGAACATGTTCATTTGATCATTTTTTAATCCTGATGAACTTCAACCTGCTCTGATTCTGTTTCAGTGGATGTTGTGTTAGTTCCACACATCATGGCTGCCTTTCAAGAGGAGGGCGGGGCCAATCTGACTCAGGATGTCATGATGGACAGAGACGCAGTTGGCCGTGTTGTGGACAGGATGTTTGTCAGGGCGTCACAGGAAGTAGCAGGTTGTGTGCATGCAGGGGGTCCAGAGGAGTTGTGCAGCCTCATGTTCAGGCTCTTGGAGAGGTCAGTACCTGTCCTGAGCCTGAGTGCAGTTTAAACCAGATCCAATGGTTGTGTTTGTGTTGCATGTGTCTCTTGTGTGTTTCAGCGGTCAGACCGGTTGTGTGTCGTCTCGCTCTCTTCAGACGGCTCTGATTGCTCTGTCTGCAGACAACCTGCTGGTGAAATACACAAGTAAGTGCATGGAACTCAGAGATGTGTGTTTGGACTTTCGTCCAGTTTTACTGCGAATGATTCATAAACAAACACGACCGCAGAACATTCTCACTGGACTTTCAAAATAAAAGATTAATGTTGTATCCTGCAGGTCTTGTGAGGGTTTCAGGAAACACTGCAGGATCTGTCAGCATGTCTGGACTCAGATCTATGCTCCAAGACCTCAGTCAGGTACACACAGTTCAGACTACATCTCCCAAAATGCCCTGTTCTCCAGCGGCTCTCTAACATGTGGCTGTTAGGTTCCGGCGGCGGTGCAGGAGGACGGTGTGTTTGGCAGCATGGAGGCAGCTGTGAGCTCATGCTTTAAGGAGGTGAGAACATCCAAATGCTGCACAGAGATATGGTTACCGTGACAACCAGGTGACTGTGTTTACAGGTGCCTGCTCTAACAGTGAGTGAAGAACACATGTTGTCATGGCTACAAAGTGAGCCACGACTGTTGCTATGGTTACCAACACTGTACCGACTGTCAGTCAGTCAAAAGATCAGTCATGCCGTCCGCTGTCACACCTGCAAGACGTTTCCCATCACCGGCCTCAGGTGAGTCTTCCTGAGAAAACACACTGGACTCTGATGAGGTCCAACACCTGTGACTCCTGTGTATGTGTGTGTGTGTGTGTGTGTTCAGATACAGGTGTAAAAAGTGCGTTAACGTCCACGTGTGTCAGAATTGCTTTCTGACCAACCGACAGACCAGGAGGCACAGAGTCCACCATCCAGTGGTTGAGTTCTGTACTCAGGTTAGAAAAGGAGGACAAAACCAGAAAACAGGACATGTGGACAGTGTGAGACCCAGGGGGACAACTTTACACCTGTCTTTCTTCTTCAGCCCACCTGGAGAGAGTCTCTGTCCTCGTTGGTGCGTAATGCTCGCCATGCCCTGTTACCACGGCGACATACTCAGAGAGAAGCTTTTAGGACAGTTCTAAAGTGGGTGGAGCCAGGGGAGACCCAGAACAGGTGAGACAGGTGTACAGGTGACATTTACCAAGTTAAACGTGCGCAAACATAATTTTTTCTTAGAGCTCCGCCCCCTTCCGATGCCTCAACACTATTGGCTGACTTGGCTCAGATTGCCCTGTCAGATGAAGCTGTTTCCCATGATGCATCAGTGCTGGCTCCTCCTCCTTCATGCTCCTCTAAATCTCTGCAGACAGACGAGGATTTGCAGGGTCGCCAGGTGATGATCTCACAGTTTCAGCAGCAGCTTGATGATGTCATGTGACGTAACGGTGTGCGTTTCCTCCCGAAGGTGGCAGCAGGGGCGGAGCTACTGACTGAAGTCAGGAGCCTGCAGAGAGACAAGTGGTGAGACTGGAAACCATCTCAGCCATAAAGCTCAGTTGTTTATTTGTTTATTGTTTTGTTTGTTTTTCAGGCTGCTGGAGCAGCAACTGCAGGCATGGAGATTTGCCGTCCAATCAGAACAGGGCGTCCTGGAGAACCGGTGTGCCGAGATGGAGGTTACCATGGATACGCTCAGACAGCACAACGACCGGCTACAGGGGATGCTGGCACAGGTGAGACACAGAACCACAGGTGAGACAGAACCAACCTGCAGTCAATCAGGATGGAAGAGGACGTTCATCGACCCCCACCTGTGCAGACTGGGCGATGATCTGAACATCTAGACTGGGACTCTTCAGTTCCTGAAGGACACACAGTCAGCAAGACGTCTTTCTGGTCAACGAGGGACAGTCGTGATGGTGGCGGTGTAAGGGCACTCAGGTGTTCTGCTTTTACATCCGCCCCGGTGTTGTGTCAACGGTTGTTTCCCCGTTGGTCTAGTTCTCCAGCAGCTTCACTTCGTGTTCTCCTTAACGTCAGTGTTTGAAGAGACGGGGTCATGAAAAATGCTACAGATTTAATTTCTGTCCCTGACCTCTGGGTAGAGACTGACAGAATCTGAGGTCTCGATACAGTAATTCCTCTTTGCAGGGAAACTGGACTCTCCTTAGAGACGGGGTGAGAGGTTCATTTTTCCATGAGAGACTTGGAGTAGAACCGCTGCTCCTCTTTTTTGCAGATAAATGGACCAAGATGTTGTTACAGCCTGCCATAAACATAATCCTTTAGTTGTTGAAAATTTGTTTTATTTTTGAAAAATTGTTGTTTTCTTCTTGTTAAAAAATTGTTGTTGTTGAAAAATAGTTGTTGTTTAGTTGTTAGATGAAAACCTTTCATCAAAGATCTAAAAAATTAAATCTGGTCCTCTTTTAGATTTTTCTACCTGGATTATTGAGCATGCATCAGGATACTTTCATCAAAGAGCCAACACTCTTTTTTTTTTTTTTACCTGCTCACAGGTGAATCGTGCAAATATGAAAATGGGTCTTTCTACAGCTGCTGAATGGTGAGGCGCATTGTGGGAGTTAATTTCTGCTCTGTTCTGTGACAGGCTGTAAACAAGATGGAGGCCCAACAACACGCCAACAACACGCTTCTGAGCTTTAACACAGAGCATGCAGATGGAGAGACCTCAGACACTGCATCAACCTCAGAGGAGGAGCTAAAGGAGAGCGAGTGGGGCCAAAGCGAGCTGCAGACTCCATCTCCCACAATCCAGCAGGACGCAACTTTGTCACATGACCTCAGTGAGGAGGAGGAGCCTGCGATGATGTGTCACAATCAGCCAATAGAGCAGCAGGGTTGGCCTGAGGGAGCAGGGTTAAAGAGAGAAGACGCCATTTTGTCTAAAGAAAAGGATTGTGGGAAGTGTAGTCCAGAACAGCTGCTGCAGGAAACTGTTGCCGGACTGAAGACAGAGATGGACAACACCTTGGCAGACAGACGGACAGGTGAGACAGACAGATGGAGAGACATGTGTCCAACTTTAAGATTCCCACAATGCTAAACTAAACTGTTGTGTCCAGGTAAGAGACGGGAGGCGGAGCTTCTGGAGGCAGCAGAACAGGTGGGAGATTCAGTATGCCACCTGGTGGACGGTTTGAGAACAAACAGGCGACGCAGGTTCAGGTTATAAAAATGTTTATTCTCAAGAAGTTCTTCTGTATTTCAATAAACACAAAAATAAAAAAGTATCAAAGCAGTTCACCTGTGAAAATGATACCAGTGTTTCCATGGAAACCACTGTCAGAATTACTGTACGGTGAATAGCATCGACCCTCTAAGATATAAAAAGTCTAGTTTTAAATAAAAACTATTTTTAATGTATAAACATAAAAACAGTTTATAAATTTATTTTAATGCCATGAGACACAACAAACTGTAAATGTGTATCAAATAATGTTCACATTTTAAATGATTTCTCAGATAATATTTATTTAAAATGTAAAAGTTTTGGTTTGAACTGCTGATGTTCTGCGACAAAGAAAAAAAATTAACTTCATGTTTGTCTTGTGCCACTTTAGTTTTGGCCCCAGCAGGTTTGCATACAGCACAGGAGGTTTTACCTGGACAGGTGAATTCTCACTGCCTCGCCCTCTCTGACTGCGAGATGGCACGTGGGCGGGGCCTGAGTTTTCTAACAGGTGCTGTTCGTCGCAGACTCTTTCTTCTAGGTTGTAGGGGCGGGGCTTCAACTATGGTTCTTCTGTTGGAGGTGGGAGGTGGGAGGCGTGGCCTCCCACCACTTTCTTGCTTTGATCTGCTGTGGAGAGAAGTGGGCGGAGCCTGACATGTCCTCCCCCCTTTCCGGTCAGTCTGAACTGAGTCTCTAGTGTCACCTATAAGCCCCTCCTCCCACAGCTGATCACTGTTAAGGTCTGGACTCAGGCTTCGGAACAACTGACGGACACACGGCGGCGGCGGGCCCAAGGAGGCGGAGCCTCTGTACCACATTATGCGTTTTGGAGGTTTCTTTAGGATGCGGTTCGTTCCAGGCTCGTAGAACCGGATAGGAAGTTTCTTGTATTTGACCTGTAACCCCTGATGGTCAACTGGCCGCCGCCGCCTTCTGCTGCGCTTTGGGGTGGATCCTTCTGGTGTGGTGGAGCCTGAAGGGGAGCAGAGCAGGTAGACAAGCGAGGTGCCCGGCTGCACGGGTGTGATTATATTGGAGTACGACGGAGGTAAACAATGCCACGTTTGCATCTCAGGTGTTCTCTGATTAGCTGCAGGTACGCTGATGGGCGGAGTCTCTGTAAACAGGTACTGTACAGCTGGAACAACCAATCGAATGGTCTGAGTACTGTGACTCACTTTAACCACCTGAAAAAACAAAACTAGGTGAGGCTTTTACTTTCAGAGAAGATGAAAAGTGCGCATTTGACTCACCTGACACCTGGATGCTAGTCTAAAGCTCCGCCTCCTCTTCCTCCTCGCGCATGCAGAGTCATCATCATCTACTTTGTCAATCAAGGGCAGCATACTTGTGTCTGACTCCACCTTCTTGGTTTCAGTGAGCAGAGTTTTCTTTTGGCTCCTCCCACCGTACCTGTGATCAACATAAGCAGGTGTTTAATGTCAGGAACGCGCCGGTTTCTGTTACAGAGTGAACAGTTGAAGAGGTGAGTGGGTCCATCACCTGGCCAGGGACTCGGTGTCGAAGTAGCAGATGAATCTTCCTCGTCTGAACTGTCCAACTAGTCTCTCCACCTTTTCCTCGTCCTCCTGCTCGATCTGGGTCCAGGTCTTCCCCCTGAAGGACTCCGGGATATGTTCTGGAACCGGCAGGACTTCTTCTATGGGCAGGGTCCAGAACCCCTCGTCCTGCGTTATTCCACCTCCGAGAAGGGCGGAGTCAAGCTGTTTGAAGTACAGCTGGTCCACCATGTCCACCTGAACGTCCATGAGACTACTGATGTCTCGATTCTCTGTCTGGCTCACCTGGACAGGTATGTCAGTGACTTTTCCTGCTCTTTGAAAAAACATCTGCAAATGGAGCATCCACAATCAGAACCTTTAAATCCAAAAACTAGTTCTCCTGCAACTAAGCTACACATGACATACCTGCACAGGTGAGTCCCAGTTGCTCTCTGTTGCCATTGAAACAGGAAAGCTGAGACAAAGGCTCTCTGTCTCCTCCTGCTGGAGAGAAGCTGAACTGATGCCATGGCAACACCTTTGGATCACCTGAAAACCAGACAAAACTTAACCAAGACCCTGGAACCAGCTTTCAATTCCTGTACTGAGGGTGATGCCCTGTTAAAACGAAACGCTTTGACTAGTTTCTGCAGGTGATGATGACGTTCCGTCAACGTTAGAAACCCAACGGTAGATCTAGTTTCTGCCTGTGATGGAAACACACAACAATCAAACATAACGGGCAGGAAAAAGTCTTCAAACATCCCAGAGATGTAGTTCCTTTTTGGATGGAGCCTCTCGGTGCAGAGGGTCGTCCCCTGGAATCCCAGATGACTGAGTGCACTTCCAGGTATGAATGAACTTGGAGATGCAGTGTATTTTTGAACCAAGACCCAAAATTTGAAACATTTCTTTAAAAACATTTAGATTATTGTTTTAAGGAGAATATGACTCCTGATGTATCTTCTGGGTTGTTGTGGGATACCATGAAAGCTTATGCCCAAGGGCTGATAATATCTTATACCATTATCCTGATGCATGCTCAATAATCCAGGTAGAAAAATCTAAAAAAGTTAAATCTGGTCCTCTGGACATTCAAAAAAACAAAACAAAGCAAATCAACAAAAAAATGTAGAAACGTTTCGTCTCTCATCC